AATTTCCCTTCGGTCCAGAAGTAAACAGGTGCGAATTACTGGAGTTGTTGACCGAAGCAGGACTGATTGTGCACGTAATGCATTTTTGCGCCTTTAATCCGGAAACGGCACGATGGAGTTAAAGGCAAAGGAACTGAAATATAAATTTGAACACTGTAAAGTTTGAGAAAATTTCATTCTCTCTATAAGGAAAGTGGAAGCAAACATTTAGATGCATTTTTGTGGGAAAATTTTATTTTTTTAAAAAAAGGAAAAATTTTGCGTGGAAAATAGGGTGTCTGTATGTGTGCCAAATGGTCCAACATTTTCAGTCTTAGGCTCACGTTTACTAAGACGATTTCGAACTTAGTCATATGTCCAGGCAAGCGCTTTTTCACATAAGGCTGTGTTCGAGGAAACGGATTCGGGCTTGATTCTCGCCCGATTTCGCACTGATCCTGCTATCTGTGTTTACAGCTCAGGGATGAAAACACGGACAGGTTCACTTCAAATACAAACTTGCCTATATGCGAGATCTAAATGCCAGTTCTAGGTATTTTCATTAAATTATCAAAATTCGTGCTTCTCTCTACAGTGGGTTAGCAACGCTAAATGAACTGCATGGCATAAATGATTTTTAAGCGTTTTTGCATATATGCAAATGCAAAAACGCATATTGGCAAGAGGCTCTGCGTGTGTGTGTGTGTTTGTATTTTTGCGCTTTTTGTTACCACTTTCAACTTGAGAACCAGAAAAGTTAGAAAGCTGAAACTTCGGGAGTGTGTGCTCACACCATGTGCGATCCTCTCGTTTTAATACCATCGCGGGCGGTGGTATTAAAACGGGACGGTCGCGCATGGTATATGCACATTAATATCATCTTAATATCATCTCATATACGGGCACGTAAAATTTTTTTTGATGAAACTGTTGACTCGGCAACCAGAAAAGCTGGAAGGGTGAAATTTTAAGAGCGTGTTCACTGTCCATCCAAAACTTAAAGATTTCAGAGTCTACACCCCAGCACGAGTGGTACTCGAGTAGAGCATGTGAAAGTTTTGACGGAAAAATTACTAACGCAGACCAGGAAAGCTGGAAAGCTGAAATTTTGTGGGAATCTTTCTTGTCCAAATACAACTTTGGTATTTCAGATACAGCCTCCAAGTGTGCGCGGTTCTCACACATGGGTACTTTAAAGATTTGGCGGGAAAATTCTTCACTGAATAGCTAGCTCATCTTGCGTAAAGGTAACAACGCGCCTTTACGCAAAATTTGCGATGATTTACGCAAGTGAGCGCAGAAGGCAGATGTAAAGCTATAACCATTCAAGCAGTTAACGATCTGAGTACTTAAAGTCAGTCTGGAGCAAAGACATATGATCGCACCGGCAACTAGCCTGGACATGTTATTACATAGGTGATTTTAAGCCGCCCATGCTTCTCCAGTCTACTGGTCGTGGATATTCACCGTTTATGTCTCTAAAATTTCTATAGTGCTTAGTTATGGAGCGTTTTTATGCGCTTTTGCTGTGCAGCGCTATAGCGCTGCTACAGCCAGCAAAAACGCATATTGTCGAGAGGCTGTCTGAGTGTGTGTGC